TTTCCTGATACAGGAGTGGACAGGAGAGCACAGAGATACCACACCGGAATGTGGTCAAGGGGGCTGTTCATGGCCCCACCCTAGGGGGTAAGTTCTTTCATGCCCCAGACTCTTCACCTGTGGGGAAAGGGGGTGCTTCAGGCGATCACTAAGGCTCCTTCCATTTCAGCAGTGTTCTTCAAAGTATGGGTCTTGGACCAGCAGTGACAGCATCACCTGAAAACTTGATAGAAATGCAAATTCTCAGACTCCATCCCAGGCCAATTGAATCAGAAGCTCTAGGGTGGGTTCCAAGAATCTGTGTTTTTACAAGCTCTCCAGGTGATTCTGATAGTTACATTTTGAGAACCATTACATCCCAGTTTCCTAGGAGTTAAGTCTTTGTTATCAGGGGACTCAGTTATCATAACAGTATATTTTCTACTTCCTCCTGAAGTTGGAAGCATACAATTCTATGTGTAAAAGAGAAAGTCAGTTTGGTTGAAGCTTCTTTGCTCTAAGCAAAACTTCAATCTACTATTTATTTCAACAAAACTAGTTTATTTATTTTTTAAATGCTGATTTATTTTTGAGAGAGAGGAAGAGACAGCGTGAACTGGGGAAGAGCAGAGAGAGAGGGAGACAGAGGATCTGAAGCAGGCTCTTTGCTAACAGCAGAGAGCCCAATGGGGGGGCTTGAACTCATAAACTGTGAGATCATGACCTGAGTTGAAGTCCAGTGCTCAACTGACTGAGCCACCCAGGTGCCCCTCAACACAACCAGTTTAAAGAGAGGTCAGAGAAGTATTTCTTGAAGCTTTGGGTTTCACATATTTTGTAGTTAGAAGCTTCTCTCCCAGTTGTCTTGGTGGGTAGAGATGAGACCAGTCTTCCCAAATTTATTCTGGAAAACATTTCCTCTTTCTCTTCGCTTGCAAAGGCAATGATCACAAGGCTCTGTGTGGCACGACTGGAAAACTTTCTTTTTGAGAAGCCTGGCTAGAGGTTCGTCAATTTTGTTTATTTTTTCAAAAAACCAACTCTTGGTTTCGTTGATCTGCTCTACAGTTTTTTTAGATTCTATATTGTTTATTTCTGCTCTGATCTTTATTATTTCTCTTCTTCTGCTGGGTTTAGGCTGCCTTTGCTGTTCTGCTTCTATTTCCTTTTGGTGTGCTGTTAGATTTTGTATTTGGGATTTTTCTTGTTTCTTGAGATAGGCCTGGATTGCAATGTATTTTCCTCTCAGGACTGCCTTCGCTGCGTCCCAAAGCGTTTGGATTGTTGTATTTTCATTTTCGTTTATTTCCATATATTTTTTAATTTCTTCTCGAATTGCCTGGTTGACCCATTCATTCGTTAGTAGGGTGTTCTTTAACCTCCATGCTTTTGGAGGTTTTCCAGACTTTTTTCTGTGGTTGATTTCAAGCTTCATAGCACTGTGGTCTGAAAGTATGCATGGTATGATTTCAATTCTTGTAAACTTATGAAGGGCTGTTTTGTGAGCCAGTATATGATCTATCTTGGAGAATGTTCCATGTGCACTCGAGAAGAAAGTATATTCTGTTGCTTTGGGATGCAGAGTTCTAAATATATCTGTCAAGTCCATCTGATCCAATGTCTCATTCAGGGCCCTTGTTTCTTTATTGACCATGTGTCTAGATGATCTATCCATTTCTGTAAGTGGGGTGTTAAAGTCCCCTGCAATGACCACATTCTTCTCAATAAGGTTGCTTATGTTTATGAGTAATTGTTTTATATATTTGGGTGCTCCGGTATTCGGCGCATAGACATTTATAATTGTTAGCTCTTCCTGATGGATAGACCCTGTCACTATTATATAATGTCCTTCTTCATCTCTTGTTACAGCCTTTAATTGAAAGTCTAGTTTGTCTGATATAAGTATGGCTACTCCAGCTTTCTTTTGGCTTCCAGTAGCATGATAAATAGTTCTCCATCCCCTCACTCTCAATCGAAAGGTGTCCTCAGGTCTAAAATGAGTCTCTTGTAGACAGCAAATAGATGGGTCTTGTTTTTTTATCCATTCTGATACCCTATGTCTTTTGGTTGGCGCATTTAATCCATTTACATTCAGTGTTATTATAGAAAGATATGGGTTTAGAGTCATTGTGATGTCTGTATGTTTTATGCTTGTAGTGATGTCTCTGGTACTTTGTCTCACAGGGTCCCCCTTAGGATCTCTTGTAGGGCTGGTTTAGTGGTGACAAATTCCTTCAGTTTTTGTTTGTTTGGGAAGACCTTTATCTCTCCTTCTATTCTAAATGACAGACTTGCTGGATAAAGGATTCTCGGCTGCATATTTTTTCTGTCTAGCACACTGAAAATCTCGTGCCAATTCTTTCTGGCCTGCCAAGTTTCAAAAGAGAGATCAGTCACGAGTCTTATAGGTCTCCCTTTATATGTGAGGGCACGTTTACCCCTTGTTGCTTTCAGAATTTTCTCTTTATCCTTGTATTTTGCCAGTTTTGGAAAACTTTCTTTAAACCGTTTCCCTGGGTGGGGCACTTCCGTTCTTACATCTGATGAGGCATTCTGTTTCTGTTTGGTTCACAGAGGACTGGTTTGTCCCATTTGCCACTATCATTTCCTTACTGGTTACAGCTCTCCTGTGCCATATGAAATGGTGGTTTTGGGGGCGCCTGGGTGGCTCAGTTGGTTAAGCATTTAACTTCGGCTCAGGTCATGATCTCACAGTTCATGAGTTTGAGCCCCGCATCAGGCTCTGTGCTGACAGCTCAGAGCTGGGACCCTGCTTCTGATTCTGTCTCGTTCTCTCTTTCCCTCCCTCACTCACACTCTGTCTCTCTCTCAAAAAAACAATAAAATAAAATAAATAAAATAAACATTAAATAAAAGAATTGGTGGTTTTCAACATCCTAATTCTATAACATGCCTTCTGCACATCCTCAGCATTGTGTGCTTTCCAGTGTTTTCTATACTAGCATTCTCTGCTCAGCTCCATCTGATTGACTGGGACAAAGGTGATCATTATTTCTAACCTGGTGCCTTGACCATCTTTGAAAACTCTTTTATTAGTGACTTAGCCTTTTTCTTTTTTCTTTTTTAAAGTTTACTATTTTGAGAGAGAGGGAGAGAGAGAGAGAGGGAGAGAGAGAGAGAGAGAGAGAAAGTGAGTGGGGGTAGGGGCAGAGAGAGTGGCAGAGAAGATCCTAAGCAGGCTCTGCATTGTCAGCGAGGAGACTGCTGTGGGGCTCAAACCCACAAACCATGAGATCATGACCTGAGTCGAAATCAAGAGTCTGATGCTCAATGGACTGAGCCACCCAGGCACCCCAATCAGTGACTTACCCTTAAGTATAGGTCAGCAATTACACTGACCAAAGTAGTATCTATGAACTTAACCACTGAGACTTCAGAACTTGTCAATATGTCACTATTCACAGTGTAGAGAAGTTTCTCCAGGAGGTATAAACAGGTGTACTAGGAAGAAAGCATTGTGTGTGGTCAATTCTCTCTCTTGAAGATTCATAATGGACATTGTGCTAAAGGCTCTGAGAGTCTTACCGTAAAGAAACTTATCTGTGTTTAACGCAATATTTTCCAAACTTCTTTGAGCATGGAACATTTGTACAACAGGCATATCTAATTATATCCAGCTTGGGAAAGGCAGGTGTAGAAGATTTGAGTTGATGTACAAGACAAGATATTTCACAGAATCCGATTTCATTCATTTATAGTCAAATGAGGTAAGATATTTCAGCACCAATCTTAGATAACAAAACATCAATGCAAATGTGAGTTATATGCTGATTATGGTAACTGAGTCTACCATAGCTTTGTTACTCAAAACCTGGCTCTTTTTGAGTACTTTTGTTACTCAAAAAAGGCTCTTTTAGAATCTCAGGTCCTGGGGCGCCTGGGTGGCTCGGTAGGTTAAGCGTCCGACTTCGGCTCAGGTCATGATCTCAAGGTCCGTGAGTTCGAGCCCTACGTCAGGCTCTGTGCTGATGGCTCAGAGCCTGGAGCCTGTTTCCGATTCTGTGTCTCCCTCTCTCTCTGCCCCTCCCCTGTTCATGCTCTGTCTCTCTCTGTCTCAAAAATAAATAAACGTTAAAAAAAAAAGAATCTCAGGCCCTAATCTAGATTTATTTATCAAATGCTTCATTTGAGTAAGCTGTGATTTCCATGTACTTTAAAGTCTCAGAAGCACTGATGGCAGCATTTTTCCTGTTATTTCCTTTTCTTACTGCCTACTCTATCTGGAATTCCTTGGGATACTTCCCTTCCTGGAAATTCAAAATCTTTGCCATCATTTAAATTTTTTTTAAAGTTTATTTATTTTGAGAGAGAGAGAGAGAGAGGGAGGGAGAGCGCATGTGTGTGGGGGAGGGAGAGAAAGAGAGAGAGAATCCCAAGCAGGCTCTATGCACGGAACCTGATTTGGGGCTTGAACTCACAGTGAGATCATGACCTGAGCCAATATCAAGAGTCAGATGCTCAACTGACTGAGCCATGCAGGTGCTCCTTTGCCATCATTTTATTTTTTTTTTTAATTTTTTTTTCAACGTTTTTTATTTATTTTTGGGACAGAGAGAGACAGAGCATGAACGGGGGAGGGGCAGAGAGAGAGGGAGACACAGAATCGGAAACAGGCTCCAGAGCCTGACGCGGGGCTCGAACTCACAGACCGCGAGATCGTGACCTGGCCGAAGTCAGACGCCTAACTGACTGCGCCACCCAGGCGCCCCCCTTTGCCATCATTTTAATGCAAACTTTCATTTCTCTTTCCCTTCTCTGAATTCTAATATCCTATGTGGTTTGTTTTATACCAGTATTGTGGCGGGGCCTGGGAAAATTCTGTGAGGAATGTAGTAAACTTTTGAAAATTAATAGCATTCCCTAAACTGTTGAACAATATTAATTAGTTTTCTAAAGTCAGTGTCTCTTTCTTTAATTGTAGGAAAGGGTGGGGAGTGTATTAATTACCTCTTTCCATTTAGAAGAGTTCCTAAGAGTTAAGAATATAAACTCTGCATCTATTTAAAATAACAATCCTTACCATGATAATTTATTTTCAGATGTCTGACTGTCAGAACCATGCAGTGGAAGCCACAATAAGCATGATACAGGCGCATAAAGAGAATTCTCTAGGAAGATTCCTTCACTACGGGCTTCGCTGATCCAGGATGCTGTTGAGGGGTCGTCCTGCATTTGGTGGCCATGTTGCTTGTAAAGGAACGATGTGTTTTCAGTCACCCTGTCATCCGCTGAAAGTTAAAACAAAGTCACAGTGAGAATCTATAGGTTACATATCAATTTTTTTCACTGCAGGCAGATTAAATAACATGTTCAGGCTGGGCATTAACTAAAATGTCTGAGATTTGACCATGTCTTCAATAGACAATGAATGTGGGTTTTGGTGACCCAGTCCTCCAAGTATTTCCAGAAATAGCAGTGAGAGGAAATTTTAAATTCTGACAAAGATTTATTAAGTTTCCTCTTTGGTGGGGAAGAAGAACTGTCTAGTGGTATCGAAAACATTCAGAACTCGTAATCATTCTTGTTCCAAGCAAATACCAGTTCTTTAGGTTTTTTAGCCTATAAGATCACAGAATTCCAAGAGTATTCCTGAAAGTTCTCTCTTCTTCAACACTTGCACTCATATCTATTCATGTCAGTAAATAAGGTAGCCTTAATATATTAAAATATGTATCATGTAAAAAGGAAGTGAAAGTTACAAATATGGGAAAAGAATGTGATACAAAGAAGTGCATTCTGTATTTAGCAAGGAAACCATGAAAACTCCTGAGAAAAAGCTAAATGTATGAGGTCACTAACTCAACATTTTAAATTCCCCAGTGCTGAATTTTTATGGCTTACAAGCAATCTGAAAGGCATTAAGTTTCTAGGAAAAAGTGTTGCAATTCTGGATTTTTGCCTGTCTTTTGACCCTAATAAGGCTGTTTAAAAATAAAGTTATCAACGGAACTTGGTCTGTCTCTAAAATGAGGAATAATACTCTGTCCTTACAAGCCTCTGATATCATATACCTTCATACTTTACAAAAACTCAGATTTGCTGAGGATTAAAATATTAAGAATCTAGTCATGCAGAGAAAACAGGAGTTGTTTTCTTTGTCAAAAATGACCGGCTCTGAAACTTTAGAATAGTGTTGTCCAATATTACAACACTGTCATCAACTGTCCACAACAATATGGACAGTGTTCCATATTTACACAGTTCAATATGGTAGCAATTAGCCACATGGGGCTAATGTGGGTGCCTGGGTGGCTCAGTTGGTTAAGCATCTGACTTCGGCACAGGTCATGATCTCACGGTTTGTGAGCCTGATCCCCACTTTGGGTGAGCTTGAGCCCTGCTTCAGGTGAACATGATCCTTGCTTTGGGTGAGCCCCACTTTTCTCTTTCTCTCTCTTACCCACTCTCTCTCTGCCTTTCGCTCACCTGCATCCTCTCTCTCTCTCTCTCTCTCTCCAAAAATGAAAGAAAAAAAAAAAAAGGAAATATGGTTAATGTGATGGAGAAACTGAATATTTATTTATTTTTATTTTTATTTCATTTTTTAATATTTATTTACTTTTAAGAGAGAGAGAGAGTATGAGAAGGGGAGGTGCAGAGAGAGAGGGAGACACAGAATCTGAAGCAGGCTCCAGGCTCTGAGCCATCAGCACAGAGCCAGATGCGGGGCTCAAACTCATGAACCTCGAGATCATAACCTGAGCCAAAGTCAGATGCTTAACCGACTGAGCCACCAGGTGCCCCTTTATTTTTATTTTAACTTAAATTTAAATAGCAACAATGGCCAGTGACTACTGTGTTAGACAATTCAGCACTAGGAATATTTTCTTTCCAGTATGAATTTAAAATTTACAGCAATATTTTTATTTCTTAATGTTGTTTTCTAGTTTATGGATTTAGAAAAAAATGATTTGGGGGCACCTGAGTGGCTCAGTCAGTTAAGCATCTGACTCTTGACTTCGGTTCAGGTGACTATCTCACAGTTTGTGGGTTTGAGCCCCCCATCAGGCTCTGCACTGGCAGTGCAGAGCCTGCTTGGGATCCCCACTCTCTCTACTTCTCCTCAACTCATGTTCTCTCTTTCTAAGAGATATATTTTTTTTTTTGAAAATAATGACATGAAGTGGTCCACCAGACAATGTTGTATAAGTGATAGACATGCTTAACCTGAAGTCTGAGATCTCCTCACATCTGTAGTCTATGGGGAAGCTTGACTGGTGTAGAGAAAAAGCACCAAGGAAAACCTGAGCATGATGATGACAAGTCACTGCTGGTCCTGTAGGTCTGCCATTTTCTATTTTTATTTATATTACTTTTGAGTGAATTTACCAAATCATTTGATTCATTTTATCTTTTTCTTTTTTTAATTAAAGAAAAAATCTTTTTAAACGTTTTTATTTTATTTTTGTGAGAGAAAGACAGAGTGCAAGTGGGGGAGGGGCATAGAGAGAGGGAGACACAGAATCTGAAGAAGGTTCCAGGCTCTGAGCTGTTGGCACGGACTGTGAGATCATGACCTGAGCTGAAGTTGGACGCTTAACTGGCTGAGCCACCCAGGCGCCCCTTAAATTTTTTTAATGTTTATTTATTTTTGAGAAAGAGAGAGAGAGAGAGAGAGAGAGAGAGAGAGACGGGGAGAGAGAGAGAGAGAGAGAGAGAGAGAGAGAGAGACAGCATGAGCGGGGGAGGGGCAGAGAGAGGGAGACAGAGAGTCTGAAACAGGCTCCAGGCTCTGAGCTGTCAGCACAGAGCCTGACCCAGAGCTTGAACCCATGAACTGTGAGATCATGACCTGAATCTAAGGCTCAACCGATTGAGTCACCCAGGTGCCCCGTTCTTTCCTTATTTTAAATGTAATGTTAATGATGTTTCTTAAAACATCATCTTTTTGTTAGCTCTTTCCTTCAGAATTGAATTACAGACCACATAGGAAAAACCAGTTTCATTACTTACTAATTATGCTCTAGATGTAGACTCAGCTTTTGAATGGGCTGGACTTCTTAGGGAGCAAAGTGGGAAACAGTCTTCTTTCCAGCCCTCTGTCAGATCGCCTTTCCTGCCTCTGGATAATATCTGTCTCACAGATCTCCTTTGCAGGTACTAGAAAGCCCAGAGTACTACCAAACTTCCAATCATGCATCCAATGTAAACCTTCTCCCATCCACCATAGCTCAGGTATGTGGGTCTGGGAGTCTGCAGTGGGGAAGGGCTATCCAGTCAGCTTCTCTACTCTTCCCTGCACTTTCTCTTCCACCAGCTACCTGCTGCTTCTTGTGCCTCCAGGGCAGGATGCAGGAGGGTGGGGAGTGTCCAAGGAGTGGAGGGGTCTTAGTTGGCTGCCACTGTTGCAATTTGGCGTTTTGGGCCCTCTGGGGAAAGATGCCCAAAGGAACGTTCGACGCTTTCTTTCACGGAGTGCTTGTGAGAATGTCCAAAAGGTCCTCAAGCGGCCTCATTCTCTGACTCTGAGTATCAAAGCCCTTCTAATTATGAAGTAAGACATGTGCCCAGATGACTGCTTATGAGCCCTGCTTAGCAACCTCCGCTGATGGGGCATCTCCACAGATTCTTCTCCAAGTGTGGCTTTGCCCTGTCAAGCAGACCCCTTCCACCGTGTCTTTTCAAGACTTCTAAAGATAGCTACCTTCCATAGTGCCCATTGAACCCAAAGAACATTCAGCACCTAATTCCAGACAGTCTGAAGATGTAGGTCTTTCTTCCTTTTGCTTAGGAGGGAATTCTAGCCAGCTTCTCATCAGACATCACTGGGTTAGGGTCAGGCATCTGGCCTATGTCGCTCCTGACAAATCCAAGAAACCCCAGCCAGACTTTCCCAAGAACCTTCAGTCAGGGACCATGTCACTGTGGGGCCCAGGAGTTCGGCATCCAGCTGTCTATGGATGATGGATGGCGGGGAGGGAACAGAGGTAGGGAGATGTGATACTCCTGCCTGCCAGACACCCCAGACCCTACAGTGGTTCTCTTGAAGAACTATTTGGCATGTGCTATGTACTAAATGTGTCTTCCCCCAAATTCATATGTTGAAACCCCAATCCCCAGTGTGATGGTATTAGGAGGTAGGGCCTTTGGGAGGTGATAACATCATGAGGACAGAGCCATCAGGAATGGGATTAAGTGCCTTCTAGAAGAAGAGACAGGAGTGAATTTGTCCATGATAACAAATCCAAGAAGAGGGCTCTCATCAGGAACTGAATTGGCTGGCAACTTGATCTTGGACTTCACAGCCTCCAGAACTGTGAGAAATCAGTGTCTGTTGTTTAAACCACTCAAGATTTTCGTTATAGCAGACTGAGCTAAGACAGCTTGAGAAAGGGTGAGAAGCCCCCCTCCCACTTTCCCTTGGGGAGGCAGGCCTAACATACAAAGACATCCTAGATAATCTTCCTACTCAAACTGGATAGGAGCTGCAGGGAGGTGGTGTAGATAAGTTTTGAGCCACCCCTTAGAGAATCATGCACAGATGTTCTAATGCCTCCCTTTAGGACTTGAGATAAAGTGTACTGTGATAACCTCATGGAACTGAGAGAATTCATTGGCATCTGGTGGAAGCAATCTCAAAATTAGGAGGCACAAAAGTTATAAAGAGCAAGGAATATAAGTACATTAAAAAAATACCTTTTCTCACCCTCAGGGAATGATGGTCAAAGTAGAAAAATACCAATATTCACCTCTTGTTGACTACAAATCCCCTTCAAACAGTCCACATTGTATACTGATATGTGGAAATAATGCCTTCACCAGGCTTAGTCTATATTTACACTTTATAGACTTAAGATGATTTAAATAAAAATGGCTAAGCAAAAATTAGAAGGTGGAAAGTTCATTATCTCTGATAAACTCTGCCCACCTGTTCTTTCCTCCTTTGGGTGCTATCTTGCCTTTCTTCCCTCTGAAACCCCCGCCCCTTCCAAACACAGAGACACAAATGCACGAACTCATAGACACACATTCATAGACCCTGCATGTGGAAAAACAAGCCCTCAATCTTTACACTTCCTATTTGTTCTCTGGCCCTCTTTCTATAATGTATAATCCATTTAAATCTTCCAGTGAACTGTCTCATGCTTGAGATCTTTCCTGCCTCCTAAACCCTGACAGGATTTGTGGTCTTTTGCCCTAGACCCTTAGGTTTTTGACTTTTCAGTAATAAGTCAGAAAAAATAATTCACACTAGTGTTCTTGGTGAAAGGAAAGACATTAATATGTGGTACCTTTCAGGTACCAAATGCACGCGTTTGAACCTTACGTGGCCTTTGCAAATTTACAGTGCCAGCCCACAAGAGTGTCTCAATGGCTGCAATGCAAGGCACTATGGGAGCTGGTGGAAGAGATATCGCTGGAGCTTAGGACCTTTTTTTGTTCGCTTCAATTCACACCATCTGGATACATTTACAGAGAATTTTTTCTAGGGAGTTCTCACTCATTGAATTGGTTTTGGAGGCGCAGCCAAAGATGAGACAGAAAAAATTTTATTTTATCACCCGTTGCAATAGCGGCTATTCTCCAGATTTTTGCATGTTAAAAAAAATACGATGCTTATATTTTTTGCAAGTAGAATTATTATTTTTTTAAGATTTTATTTTAGTTTTTATTATTTTTTTAAATTTTATTTTTTTAAATTTATTTTTAAGTAATGGCCGCATCCAATCTGGGGGTTCCAACTCATGACCTCAAGATCGAAAAGTCTCTTGCTGTACCGACTGAGCCGGCCAGGCACCCCACAAGTAGAATTATTTATCAGTAAGTTCTAAGCGGCTTTGAAAAATAAGAGTAGAATTTCAGGGAGACAAAAACTTCACTTGACACAGGTTTAATATTAAAGCCTTTCATTGTTTCCTTCATTAGTCTTTGAGCAGCAAGTCCTTGTGAAGTAAACTGAGGGAATTTAGTAACGTATGTAACAACCCTGTCTCCCCGCCTGCTGGGTGCATTATCGCCCCAAAGATTGTTACTGCAGAAATGCAAAGAGAGAGCAAACCACGTTCTGACTTTTGACTGCCAGCACAGGCTCTTCAGTCTTTCTGGTTTCCTTTTAGTCCTTTCCATTGGCTGGCTCCTACTTGTTCTTTGTGACTTGGCTGCAGAATGCCTTTGTCACTTTACCAGAATGCCTTCTCTAGTTTCTGGTAAGTTCTATTTTGGCTTCATAATGTCAAGCACAATTTTATCTCCGTATTTAACACACCTTGAAATTACTTATGTTACCTCTTTCTCAGCCCTTAGAATGTTTTTGGCAGGAACCTTGTCTTACTCATCTTTGTACTTCGCCTGACCCCACCCCCTCCTAGTGTCTACTTCATGCCTACCACATAATAGGTGCTCAGTAAATTTTTATTAGCTAGAGGAAATTAGGTAGGATTGGGATGTATTCTTTTCTTTTATGAGAGAGAGAGAAAAAGAGAGAGAGCGAGAGAGCGAGAGCATGCAAGCAGGGGAGGGGCAGAGGGGGAAGGAGAGATAGAATCTCAAGCAGGCTCCATGCTCAGTGAAGAGTCTGATGCGGGGCTCGATCTCACCATCTCATGACTGTGAGATCATGACCTGAGCCAAAATCAAGAGTCAGATGCTTAACCAAGTAAGCCACCCAAGTGGCCCGGATTGGGGTGTATTCTTAATCACATTTTACAAGTAACAGAATTGAGACCAACCAGGAGTTGGCAAACTCTTTTGGTAGAAGGCCAGATAGTAAATATTTTATGCTTTGCAAGCCATCCGGCCTCTTTCACAATTTCTCAAGTCTGCCATGTAGCAAGGAAGTAGTTATAGATAATATATAAATGATTGGATGTGGCTGTGCTCCAATGCCACTCTATTTATAAAAACAGGTGGCACACAGATTTGGCCTCAGGGATCTAGTCTGCCAGCTCCTGCACTAAACTAAGACTGGTTTACTGACCTGACTTAATTCAACACATACGAGTTTACTTGTATGTGGCTGTTCTTCCCCAGAACTCAAACTATTTTTATGTATTTGAATGATAGCATATTATGGTGGAATAGTAATCTTCTCAATAGTTTGCTAGTGGCATAAAGATTTAATGTCCAAGCAAAGATGTATAATTTACAACCAAGATGTTGCTTCCTCCTAAGAGAAAGCAATTTAAGTCCCACTAAGTCTAATGTACCTGTGAGTGGGAAGAAACAATTAATATTGGCTGTTCAAGCAAATAGTACATTTTTTAAAAGAACAATCTGTTCCCCTAGTGTCTCCCAGGTGATCAAGAGAATAGACTCTTTAACTGGCAGGAATTATGTACTTAATAAAATTGTAATAGTGGCTCTACTTGTCAAAGGAAGCTCATTATTCACAGATTATGTTTCTCTGTGTCCTCCTGTTTTCCCACCGTTTCTTGACATTGATGATGTCCTCTGGTAGGACTGTCTCTCACAGGGGTCCACGTGGTCCAAGCTGGATCTTGACTTTTATGGATGTTTGCCAAGACTAAGCTGTGGGGGACAAGGCGACAGACTCCAAGATCTCTAGGATCCCATTCAGTCCTCAAATTTATAAACTTCTTTGTCCTCTCTAAATTGCCTCTTTTCCATCCCAGCTCAGCTCTGGCCTTGGCACATTTTCTGTTTAAATTAGCTGTTCCTTCTCTGAACTCCATTGCCTCTTTAGGCTACAGTTCATACAGCAGAGTTAGCTTGAATATTAATCTGATTTCTGTGTATTTCCCTTTCCTTCTGTGTCTTACCTTAACATGAACTCTGGGGAATCCCCAGACTTTAATCAAACACGAACGCAAGCATTTTGAGATGCTTACTTGTCAACACATGATAAGTTTAGGGCTGAGACTGTGAGAAGGGCCGTGGAAGGACATCTGGGCTATGAGAGGAAGGTGTGGAGGGCTAGACTCACTGAGTGGAGTGAGGCAGGGGAAGGAAGGACCAGGATGTGGCGTGAGTCAATACCACACTGTGCTAGAGATCCATTTGCTCTCAGGAACCTACTGCCCATGGACAAGCCACGATCTGAACGTACTGGGCCCTTATTTGTGACAAATGTGGAATACTTGCAGGGAAGAGGAAATATTTTTCCTGCTACTGTCCTAGGTTCTCTGGCTGAGGGCCTATACATTGGATAGATAAAAGACACATGAATAAGAGAAAAACAGCTATGGGGTGGCTCTTGGTCCTGGTGGTGGCGGGGGGCGGGGGGTGTCACAGGTCATCTGGGGCAGGTTCCTCTGGTGCTCCCCCATGGAGGAGACAGTGTGCACAGCTGCAGCCCCAAATGCTCTCACCTCGTACCACACATGATGAAGGTGCTGGTCACAGTAGCTCAAGAGGGGGCAGCCCATGTGGCCTGTGTGGGCTTGTGAGTGGAGGTGACCAGGGTCAGATAGTGGAGGGGAAGCCACTTGGCTGGCCTCCAACTGGGGCTGGAGCTACTCTGCCAGTGTTTAAAACTTTAAATGA